GAATGACTCCACTGTTCAAAGCCTGTCTTTCTGGCAGTATCCTAATCGTTCGTCTGTTGCTACAAAATGGCGCGAGAATCTACCCCGAACGACTATGCGAGAGACTGCGAATTTCATTTTTACCCAAAGCTTTACATGTACTAAAGAAAGCCTAACTTTTTTTTTAATTTTTTAAATCTAAATGAACAGCACAGTGCTCCACCCACTCTCTGGATACTCTTTTGGAGCAAAAGATCCGCAAATGGAACCAGATCAATCTATACAACAAAAGCTTGAAAGATTAAAAACAGAGTTTGTGGAAAAAGGATGTCGGATTACTGTGCTTGGAGTAATTTGTTTGCATGAACATAACCATCCAACGATCCTAGTACTGCGTATTGCAAATTCGTTTTATAAACTACCAGGCGGTACCTTGAAACCAGGCGAAGATGAGATTAAAGGATTACAACAGCATTTGATTGAGCAGCTAGGTCCAATTGGTGATACAAACCATGACGAGTTTGAAATTGGTGAATTGCTGGGAGTATACTACCGATTGAACTTTGAAAACATTCTGGTACTTGGTATTAACGTAGTATCCGTATCTGCCACCACATATTACGAAACCAAAAGAGATTGTAAAGATATTTATGGTGCATTTGCCTGAAACAAAGCTACTTGTTATACCAAAGAATATGAGGCTGGTAGCTGTTCCGTTGTTTGAACTTTATGGAAACAAAGAACGGTTTGGGAACCAGTTGGAAAATATCCCACAGCTGCTATCGAGATTCAACTTTATATATATGTAAAGCATCTAGAATGTAATAAAGGTTTATATTAATTTGATTTCGCAGTCTCTTGAATAATTTCAATTAGTTTATCAGTCTCATCAACTTTACCGCAACGAATTAATACTGGTTTCATTTGTTCTTCATGCATCATAATGGTAGTAAATTGCTTATCTCCAACTTTGGTTAATTTCATTGCTTTGTAGAGTCTAGCATTCAACAGCACTCTTCCTGAATTCTCTGCTCTGCATAGTAATCGCGTTTCCTTGACTTTTAGAATGCCTACACCGATTGCATTCCAATCTTTTTTACCATCGTCATTAGTGATTTGGACAAATATCTTTGCTTTTTGTTCGTGTATGGACTTTTCGTTTTCTTCTCCTTCTCCTTGCATCAGCGAATCGCCAACTTGAGCCAATTCAGGCATTGCATCACCTTCTTCAGTTGCTTCCTCTGGTTTAGAGAATTGAAAAGTAGAATTTAGTGGCTTAGGATCTCCCATATTTGCTACTAAAGACACTGGTTTATCATCAGATTTTGGTGGTGCAAAAGAAAACGCTGGTGGATTGGATGCGGTTGCACTAGGAGTGCCAAAGGAAAATGGTGTTTTGGTAGTATCAGTTGGTGCTCCAAAAGAGAATGCGGGCTTTGCAGTTTCTGTTTTTGGTGCTGTAAAAGAAAATGCTGGGGCAGATGTTGTTTCTTTTGCTCCAAATGTAAAAGCGGAACTAGGTGCATCACCTTTAGGAGCAGGTGTTGGTGTTGCAATATCTGATTTTGGAGTACCAAAAGAAAACCCTGGTGCTGGAGTCGTCTTGGCACCAAACGAGAACATTGGTTTATCAGCACTTTTTTCATCAGATTTTGGAGCAGTGAATGAAAATGCAGGTTTATCTGCATTGGAATCTGTCTTTGTCGCACCAAAAGTGAACAAAGGCTTATTAGAACTTGCTACAGGCGCAATTGGAGCAAATAATGGCTTTTTTGTGCCATCATCCTTTTCACCAACATCTCCAGATTTTTCCATGGTATTTCCAGTAAAAGAGAATGCTGGTTTATCAGCATTAGAGCTAGTCTTTTGAGCAACTGGAGATTTGTTGGCGGCATTATCTTTTTCAGATACATCTACAGATTTTCCAAGAGTGTTTTCTGGCTTTGACGTACCAAATGAAAAAGCAGGTTTTTCTGTAGATCCCTCTTTAGTTGGAATTTGGAAGGTTAATGGTTGAGCAGGTGCGGCATCTGACTTTGGACCACCAAATGAAAATAAAGGCTTATCTGTCGGAGCATTTGTTGATGTTGGAGGAACAAAACTCAGCTTTGGAGCATCCACTTCTTTAGCGCTATCTGGTTTAGCTCCAACTCCAAACAATGGTTTACCATTTGTCGCTGGTGTCCCAAATGCAAACTGTTTAACTGGGCTCTTTTCCTTTTCACTGCCTTCTCCAGACATGGTGCTAATTTTGAATGCAATTTCCTTTCTGAATTTGATATATTCATTGCACAAGACTGTAAGGTCGACATTGGATGCTGAAGCTACATTTTCACTGATTTGCTTCAAGAAACTCTTGTTCAGTCCAACAATTTTATCTGCCAATGATTTGATTTCTGATGAATTGTCTTGTTTACTAGCTAGAACAGACGAATTTTGAGCAAATAGGTTTGGTGCAACCGGTGCGGAAGTGTTTGCTGATGGAATGCCAAATAATCCAGTGCTGGTGTCTGTAGTTGGCTCAACAGATTTGAACGTGTTGGCATAAGGATTAGATCTTGCACTTGCAGCTCCGCCTTTACGAACTCCCTATTATTAACAAGTCTATTACTCCCTATATTTAGAATCGAAATACCTTTCTTAATGGCTTAATTTGCCTCTTGCTAATTTCACGCTCAGAGGCCCGTTGAAAATCCTATAATTAATCTATATCAACCTGCGGCCCATCTTCGTTATCATCTGCTTGCCAGTTGTAAGAATCCAGCTGATGTTCTGCGTCTCTTTTTCCCATTTCAAATCAGAGATTTTCAAAAAAAATTATTGAGCAATTAATGGAAAACTGGATTACGTTATATATTAAAAGAGAATACTGGTTATATCTTGGTCGGGATTTATGAAATTCAAGTACGGATGGTGAAAATTGAAGCTGTTGGGGTTAAGTGGGGTTGGAATAGTATATACAAACGGCAAATCAATGAAGAGACTTTGGTGGTATCCATTCATCAGCTGAAACTGTGGAATCAAGTTTGGCGAGTTGAATTTTGGCAATTTTAGAGATACTGGTTCTGATAGACTTGAAGAATGGCCCAAATCCACTGGTATACTTTCATGTAGTGGTTCAGCCTTGAGTAATAGAGGTGAACGGGCCACTGGAGGAGAATGCTTGACAGCGAGTTTATGTTGGCGAAATTGTTCTTTAGAAAGCTGACTGTATTTGTTTTTTATACTCTGCGGTTCCAATGCCCACCTTTTAGCTGCTAGAGCATTGATTTCATGCGATTTTGAAACACCATATTCAGCTTTAAGAAAGTCTCTTATCTCTCTCTTGTACAGAAAGAATCTATCGTCAGTTTTCCCTTACCCATTGAGAGGCACTTTGGTTTTGATTTCAGGCTTCTTTATTGACATTAATTATTGATATTAAAATTTTGGTTATATAACCGCTCCTTGTCGGAAATCCCGAAATTTGCAAAGGCATCCGATGGGATAATTGTGCGGCACGGCGTGAAAATATCCTTGAATTGGGAATTCCTTTGTGAGGACACCGAGATTCGCGCTCATAAAGAAAACTGCCGAGTCTCTTTGAGTCGTCTTTATGACCTGAATGCTGGTAATAAGAAAAATGTTGAATCCGCTAGAATACACCTTGTAGGGTTAGAAAACCTTTCAAAGAAAACCAAATTCAAATTTGAAAACAGAAGCTTTCTTGACCTTCAATAAACTGGAATCTCTCTGTATGATGAGGTATATCAAAATATGTTTGGCCAGTAGCTCCATGAGAACAAAGTGGTGCTATTCACTTTGAAACAAAAGTAATACAAAAGAACTTTTTATTTTCATGGACGGACACTACCAGTATCTTAAGGTGGTAGCATACTAATAGGCTTACTAGTTTTACCAAGATCTTTTCCTAATTCATAACGATCCTCATAGATCTTTCTGTAAGCATTTCTGAGAGTAGATTCAGTACACTGTGCAGTTAATGCAATATCTTTGGCAGACTTTGGATCATCAGAAAGAGCAGAAGCAAAATACAAACACGCAGCAATCAAAGTGATTGGAGATTTTCCAGCAAGAATACCTCTATCTGATACCATCTGACAAAGCTTCAATGCGCTTCTAGTAGTTTCGTTGTTTACGTCCAATTGCGAACAGAAACGACGAACATAGGCATCCAAGGTTTTTGGCTGCGATGGTTTTGATAAAGTAGGCTGAATCAATTTGTAACATCTTCCAATTTCCTTTGTTGAAACTTTGGTCAAATTGCAGATTTCCTTGAAAGTTCTCTCAGATTTATGCTCCCTGCAAGCTATAAATAGACAAGCGGCTTTAATTGCTTCTGCTGATTTCCCTCTCAGTGTTTTTTCATCATCAACCTTACATTAGATGAAAATAAAACCTTTTTAAAGAGTTGCTTCGCAGTATCAGTTACTATTCTAGGCAGACCAATAGTGTCACCCATATGCTGAATAGATTTAAATGCATCCAATACATTTTGCATTCCCCTGTCATGAGATATTTTATTGTGGGTTCTGCTCAATTCCTTGGACATTCCCGTGCCTTTATCCATTGCTGAAATAGTGGTAGAATCGAGATGATTTGATCCACCTAATAGCGGATCCGATGCTGCACCCACACGAGATGGATCTCCTGAATTATCATCCGAATTAGCAAACGTTCTCCATTCAGAACGAGTGTCAATTACCCTATTCCCCAACACCAGCCCACAGTTTCCGCAAATCAAATCTCCAGCGGCAAAGTCTTCAATTATATTAGGAATCGGGTCTCTGCAATCAGTGCAAAACAATCGCAAGTTCAAATCAATTTTTTTAGTGTCCATGGTTTAAAAAGTTGAAACTTTTTCAGCCCACTTTTTTCAATTTATGAATTGCTATCTACTTTACACACTAAAGAACTAATGCAAGGCCTCCCATGCGGAAATTAACAAAAGTAAATAATCTCTGTTTTCCAAGATCTTCAAGGAAGCTGGTATTTGGTGCAGTGGATTTTCCCGCACTTTGGGAAGTATGGCCGAGTGGTTAAGGCGATTGACTCGAAATCAATTTCCCTCTGGGATCGCAGGTTCAAACCCTGCTGCTTCCGCCATTTTTTTCCACATCGTGTCTAACTTTTGATAGAAAGCCCGATTGAGGACTGTGTTTATCGCTACATACTCAAATGTATCTACAAGGTCGCTGTTTGACTTGGTCCGAGCTTCGGGAGTCGCCTATTTCTTGCAGATTCATCTCGTTAGTGGACACAAGTGAATATTATCTCATAAATTCGAATGAATAAAAACAACAATTTTATACAACTGATGCAAATTGGATACCGTCAACATGCCCTCCTCGCATTGATGTTTTTACATTCTTTTCAAACTCTTTTCTATTACTACGCAGCACAGCAGCGGCAGTCTTGTTTAATGGATCGTCTAAATGAGCCCAATATTACCTGCGTTCGGTTCTAGGAAAAGGTATTGCAGCCCAACAAGGATTGCATTCAAATTCAATACCGGTTTCCAGTCCTCTCTCAGGATATTCAAACAAACGTTTCCTTCCAAGTCAATATTTGGGTGATATATTTTTTGCAAGCACAAGACTTTTGGTGCCTCATGGGGATAATTGGAATTAATTTTTATAGAGAATTGGAACACTCCATGCTGATAAAAGCCTGCCATTAGCATCAATTACCTTCATCCGGCTTTATGGTAAGCGTAAATTCAAACACATTGTTGGGGTCAACAAAGTCCAACTTCATTGACTTTGGTAAATTTGTAAGCTCAGATAAATCTTTTTGAATCCTAATTTGCGCAGCGGTAGTCTTTGGTTTTTTAGGCTGAGATGCTTCTTCCTTTTGCTTCTTCTTCAATCCCATTAAATTGATCATTTCGAATTTTTGTTGAAAATTTTGTTGGAAATTTTGAGACTTCACGCCACCGAGAATCGCGTAGATGAGTGAAGCAGCAATAAATAGACCGCCAGCACTTAAACAGAGGTCGAGCTCGCAATATGGAAAGTCGTCATCAGCGTCTTCAAAGATTGAAAAGGCACAACGGTTTCAATCTTTTGACACGAATATAGATATCAATTCACCCCAACCATTACCAGAGAAACCCAAATTACAATCACTGAAAAATGTTGCGAGCACTTCATTCAAAAAGTCTCCAGTTACTAGTGCGGGCCAACTTAAAACACAAAGACCTCGATCGATTCGAAGTGCGCGTAAAAGCAGAGGAGAGATTCATGATACGTTTGAGCAAGAATTCAATTCTGATATTTTATCAATGGGGCATGACTTGACACTCAAACTGTATCCAAAAACAAATGCAGGGTTGCCTAATGTCGACTATGACTCTTCAATTTCCGAATTCAAAGATTTTCAAAATGGTGTCGACCATCCTTCAAATGTGGTTGGAATTCATCTAACTCCTACAGTTTCGTTACCTGACAGTATTTTCACTAAGCTTACCAATGAATTATTGGAAAATACAGCCAATGTGGAATCAGCAATTGAAGATTTGATGAAATGGAAAGATGATTTTGTAAAGCAGAGTGTTCCAAGCGCGGTTAAATTAGAAGTAACCTTGTTGTTTTCAAAATTATTTAGAAGCAAGAGTGACTTGCATCAACCACTTTTTGAGTTGATTAAGCAAGTGCGGTATTATTCACAAACCTGGTCTGCAGGAAGAGAAAAGATGCTAGTGCTCGAAAAGGATTATCATAGACACTATCATGTACTGGATGTGGCTATAAAGAAACTGGAAGTCCTCCAAGCGCAGGTAAATCAGTCATAACAAGATAAACAAAACCAGAGTTCAAAATCAAATATTGTTGTGGGAAAGGTTTGCAATTAGATTACTAGTATTTGATTTTAATGTAGCATTATCGAAAAATCCAAGCTCAAAAGGAAATGGAACGGGAAATGAGACTAAAGTATGCAAAGCTAACATTAGACTGGCGGTAGACCCAACTGGGGAATCTGTTACACCGGGCCATGTTTCTAGACCAACAACAGAAAGAGAACTTGCAGTAAGGACACCGGTAGCAGCCAAGCTTCACACCGATTCAGAGTGGGAGGAATTGAAAGAAGCGATTAGGGATGAAGTATTGGATGAAGCACCATGGAGAAGACAAGCAAGAGGTTATTCAAACTCAAACTGTAGGTATCATCTGTGCTTTCAAGTTATTGCTAAAGAAACACCATATCCACATACAGTCCATTCTCAAAGACTATTTGAATCGACCGTTTGCTCAGTATCCCAATATCACATATCTTAGTACAAAGAGTGGAACGTTTATCCAACCAAAGAAAGAATTCCCACTAGTACGATCAATATCAGAGCCGGACTTTAGTGTATTTTATAAAAAGGAAGAGCAATATAAGGAATATAATGAATGGTTGGGCAACATAAACAAATCAGTGACCTTTGACAAGTTTGGTAGTCCGTTGGAAGATGAAAGCAAAAAGAAGCCAAACCCCCTGCGGAAGCATGTAAGAGCAAATTCCTTCCACTGCTATTACGAGTTGAATCAATCAACTACCGTTGGCAATAATGCAAACAGTGCAAATAATATCAACGCGTTCAGAATAGATGAAGATGGTTCCAGCGATGCCTCGATTGAAAGTACAGGCACTGACGTAGATTACGAAAAGAAAGACGAAATGTATTTCAAAGCGTTACTGAATACCCCAGACTTTTCTAGCGCGGTAAACAACTTTATCAACAGACACAGTACAACTATTGAGAATCCTGTTGTGAATGAAGAAGAAATGATGCAAAAGATTGAGGAAAGTCATGAAACATTCACTCTAAAAGAAGTTATAGAGCTGACTCTTCTTCACGCACAGCAATTACACCATATCCAACAAGAATACGAGTAAATTACGGTTAATATAGGGATAAGGAAAAGACCATGCACGATTTGATTATCCAAATGGAAACAGAAAGAGATGCAGAGTTTGAATCAATGAAACAAAAATTGATTGAACTGGAACAGCACAACGAAAATTTATCAAAGCAACTGGAAAAAACAAGGCCATATTCTGGGGGCTCAAGGTTTTCTCAACCACTATCCCCTAAAAGACCAGCTTCTGCTAGTGCAGGAGATTCAGGTTCAGTGAAAGCAAGTCTTTCCTCAAAGAGCGATAGCACCCCCAAAAGTAGAGCGCAGTCCGTAGCATCTAAATTGTCAATTAAAGTCACCCCACGTCCAGTCATCAACGAAAATATCGAAAAGACAATCAAGTTTGTAAAGAAACAAAATGTTTTACAGCAAAAAGCAAACGAATTCCAATCAAAATCATTCCAATTAGATGTAACAAGTCACTCATTATAGTTCTTTGATCGGTTAAAGTGGTTTGCTGATAATACAAACCGAAAGCAAGTAAGGATGAGAGAAGAAATGCAAAAGAAAGAACGAGATGAAAATGAACGCAAGCTGGCGTACTTGAATTTGATTTCATATGGGGAAGACACACCTGAATCGGAACTACCGGCCGAGTTTATGCCAATGCCAGGTTCCATACCGACACCTAAAGCGATAAACAAGTTCGTATGGTCAGATCAAGGTAATTCAATCTAAATTAGGGGTTACAACTCCATGGGGCGGTCGGTTTAAAATTACAGAGAAAAGCTCTCAAAGACTTAACGTATTAAATCTCTTTGATGTTGCACTGACACTGCAGAAGGAAAAAAACCAAGACCAGGATGAAGAGGAATAATTGTACTATAATAAAAAGCAACTTTATTTTACTTTTTCTTTGCGCCCTTCTTTGGTTCTGGCTCTTCCTCTTCCGGCCCATTGATTAGCAACGTTCGCTTCTTAACTAACCCAGTCTTGTCGAAAAAGTCCTAATGGTGAATTGATAATTACTCTGAACAACTTTGCTTCATCTGGGTTTGGTGGGGGCATATCCAACAGTTGATTTACAAATTCTTCGGTTTTTAGTGGTCTTGTTCTTAATGTTCGAATTCTTCTTGGGGTTAAAACACGAAGAACGCATATTTCAATTGATCCTGTAGAGAAGCCTTCGCTCATCCTCGCTAGGAGACTGATGTTAACAGACTCATGTCCTCGCGGAACCAATCTGTTGATGAATTCCGTCCACATAATTACTCTCCCTCCATAATCTGGTTTAGGGCAAAAGAGAATCTTGTCAAATAGGGGAAGCATTGCTTTTGCTTCACCATCCCATGGCTTATTGGTGGTAGCAATCAAAATTACTTTTTCGTTGTGATCCCTGATCAACTTGATGGCTTTTGTCAAGTCCTTTTTAATTCTTTTTGGGTCACTTGTGTCGTCTTTTGGAACCTTTTTCGCAAAAATCATCTCGACTCCATCAATATAAATTATGGAAGGTGCATTTTGCCTCGCTACCTTGAATACCATATGAACCATTCTTACCACATTAAGTTTTCCTACATATTGCCCAGCAGTATTCCTTGGGCTTAGGTTGAGGATATTTGCTCCTAATTCTGTTGCTAATGCTTGAACGAGCATTGTTTTGCCAACACCGCTTGGCCCACACAATAAAACTGACGCAATTTTTGGATATTTTGGAGGCGGTAGTTCAGGACTGTATGGCAAGCCCAAGGGTAAACCGCAATACTCAACCAGAACCTAAAGAATCAAATAGAATTACTCTTTTCACATCCAGGATAGATGGTGCAATAAAGAAATCTTTGGTTACCGATGTTTCAGTAAGATTATATTTCCCAATAAAGTTTTCGAGTGGGCAGGGAGAATACTACATTAATTTGACTTACTTTTTGGAAGAGCCCCGCCTTTACTAATTCTTCAATCAAAGAGTCCATGGTTCGGTTCGCGGTCAAGTCTTTCTCCTTTTTGCCCTTTTTTCCTTTATCTTTCTTTCCTTTTTTACCTCCCTTCTTTCCTCCCTTGCCTTTCTTTCCCTTCTTTCCTTTCCCTTCCTTCTCCACAGCCAATTTTAAATTTTTCAACTCATCGGCGAGGATGTCATACACATCCATTTTAATTTGGGTTTCAACTTCTTTTCTTTTATCCGCTTTGATGATTTCTTGATCGTGTTTTTGAGCAAAATTCTCAGATTCATCCTTGTTTTTCCAATTGGTTGCATATTCA